TTCACGCAATTTGATTTTTTATAATTGATTTGGAATTTTTAATTACTATTTTACTGAGATTGATTTCAAATAAATTCTATAATTTAGGAACATCATTAATAAACTATTATTTCTTTTATAAAATAAAATAATTATTTTTACCGTCGTACATCTTTAGTCTTAACTTGATCTAATAGTCAAAAAGATGGTTCTATCATCTATGGTTTTATGAATACACCTGGTTTTATGTTGAACCCATCTCTCTCTCTCGCTCTCGCTCTCGCTCTCTCTCTCTCTCTCTCTCTCTCTCTCTATATATATATATATATATATATATATATATATATATATATATATATATATATATATATATATATATATATACACACATACACACACACAACTACATGAATAACTATATTTAGTCACGATGTTTTTCACCGTTAATACATTAATTAATTCGGTGGTGACACGTTGCCTTTAAAGGGTCGCCGTTGTTTCTTCATCTCTATAATTCCTGTCATTGTCACTAATGCTTCGTCGTCACTATTGTCATTTGTCGCTACTAATGCACCGTTGCCACTAATATCATCGGCCACCATCAACGGTGTCTCCAGTAATTGTACTTTTATCTTTTTTTAAACCATTGGCTCCAAGTGCAGAAAAAAACGTAATACAAATTATTTTTTTTATAAAATATTAATTACAGAAAAATAGATCAACCATTAAAATTTAAAAATGCGACATGCCAAAATATTATTCCAAACATTAACGGCAAGATAAGCTATAATTCTAACAAAATATTACTCCTCGGCTAAATGACTACTAAATACCCCTTTGTCATCGTTATGAGTCTTATAAAAGACTTTGAATCTAATCAAATCTTACTTAACATTAAAAATTAAATTAATTATACTTTTAATAAACAATTAAATGTATCATATATTACTTCTTTGAAACAATTACAACCCCCCTTTGTTTGTGTATTTTTATAGTGCACAAACTTCATTGTTTATCATCGAACACTTTATAAATTTGGACGTTTGAAAATGTTCAACTATTTGCGTACCATTTTCAAGTGATATACCCCTGGGGTTTGGCTAATGCTCTTGGGGTTTGGCTAATGCTCTTGGGATATCTACAAGCCCTCTAACGCTTTTAGTCAGTCGTTTTACTTTTATCGATATCTATAATAATGTTCGTGTAGAAACGCATCAATGCACTCCAACAACTTAGCACTCTAGGGATCCAAGGAAACCCGATCAAAATCAAACTTTCTCTACAAATACAAAAAGTTAGTTAATTAAATACTAATCACAAAAACTTAAATATTATGATATAAATAATTTACATTCGGATGCATGATTATGACATTCGTTAAAGCAAAACAAACATTGTCCCAACTAGATATGCTAAGTGATGTTCTCCCACATATCGTTCAATCTCATGTGGATACATATTATCTCATTTCCCGATACCGAAAAATCTCTATTCTAATAAATGAATAGTTTTAATCTCATTGTGATAAGTGTCACTCTAATACAAGTCCTCATTAATATTATGTTATGTGTCATATGAATATATTAGGCAACCATTTCAAAATTCAAATTTATATTTTCTAATTATATGTTAAATTTGAAGTTATAATAACTTTAAAAATTTGATATATCCCTTAATTAATAATTTATTTAAAACAATTGATTAATAATTATATATTTTTATTATGAAAATTTAATTAATTTTATAACCGTGGTTTCCACGGGTTATAAACTAGTGTAATATATTTGTGAAAATCTAAAGCCTCATGTTTCCCTTTTTTTAGTAATAACTTTGAAAGTTTGATGTTTTTGTACAATCATCTTGTTTTTTTTGCTAGAACAATTGAAAAAGTAAAATTAAAAATATTAATCATAATATTTTATAATAAATGAATATATCCGTCATGATGTAAAAAAGTATATATCACAAGCTAGATTTAGTAAGTAAGACAAAATATACTTTTCACAATTTTTGCTAACCATATTTTTTCCGACCTTGTTTTTACTATTTGTATGTAGTTTTTGACATACTACGTACATGTCGGTTTCTATATTATATAATAATTGAAAAGATATATATATATATATATATATATATATATATATATATATATATATATATATATATATATATATATATATATATATATATATAGGTTCAAATGTTTTTGATAACTATTGTGTGCCTGTGTGCACCAATAAGAATTCAGGAAATAATTAATTATTAAATAAATCATTTAAGGGTATTATAGTAATCTTGACATATTTAAATATGGTAGATAATTAATATGTTCTTTATTATTCCTTTAAATATGGGATGTAGTCAAAATCTATTGAAAAAAACCCTAGCCGATCACGTCTACAACGATTTATCCTTCCTCTCGTTTTCCCAGCATTGGTCCCTGCCGTCTCCTCCATCTCCATCGGCCACTGTGTGCTTTTTTAACTCCACACACATTGTCGGACCACCATCATCAGCAGCT